AACAAAGAGGAAGGGTCCTGAAAATGATGTCTGAGCAATGAAAGACAGTGAATATTTTAAAGATCACTGAATTTAATTTATTCAACCTAAATGCATAAAAGTACAGGTGGGGACATTATTTATGCAGGTATATGCAAATCACTTTATAAAATAGGCAAAGCCCTTCTGCTTTTTATAAGTTGCCAAGGTGGTTCCTGATATTTTAAAAGCTATGCACCTTTAATGTAATTTCCTAAGAGCTGGAATCCCTTGTAGGAATCACAGTCATTGTCAGAGCAAGTTTATTTTTCCCCCCTCTCCTCCAGGACATTTACAAGGCTCTCATAACCATCACAAAAGACTGGTTTCCACAGAGATGTGACTGGAAAAATCCCCTGGAAATTGCTGAGGAGCAAGTCACAGTGTTCAAAGCGGAGAACATAGGCTTTGAAAACATGAACCCATCTGACCTCCTGAATTTAGTACAGTGAATTCCTGAGCTCTGAAACATGGGGCCCGGCTGTGCATGCCATATTGGTGCTATAAGACTGGCAGTAGGTTGGCTGTGCCATGGTCTATTTCAAACTCCTTCACAGTGCCCAGTGTTGCATGTTCCCAGATGACATTTGGTTGGCAGAAGCTGGGCCTCCAAAGCTGGCAGTCTGGAACGCAGCCCACTGTGTTTTGACAAACACATAATTGACCATCTGATCACCAGCCTACGTTCTACACTCAGGTCACTGGGGGACCTGGGCTTTCAATAGGTCCCTGCTCCTCATCTTGTTCATCTTCTCAAACCTTTCTCTAGAAAGCAATATAGAGAAGACTTAAACACACCCACACAGATCCTCCCATTTGCAAAAAAGAACATGGTATGTGAAACATAAGCTGTTGAAAATTTCCTTTAAATTGTCCTGGCAGCCCAAAGTGAACAAGAGAAAAGCACACTTATGGTGAACTCTAATTCAGAGAGAAGAAATGAATATACTGAATTGTTTCAACACCCGGCTGTGCATAAGTTGCAATTCAGTTCAATGGCTTGGAAATGCTGCTTAGAAAAAGGCAGCAATGGGAAAATGATAGGAAATTGGGACATTGATTGACTTTAGGGAGACATTATTAAGAAATGATTTCATTTTTAGGCGAACAAAAGCAGGACACTGTCAATGTCATTTTCTTTTCTGCTCCCTTTCTTCTTGCCCATGACTGTTGTGGGCAGGAGATACACACCCCTGGGGACCAGTAGGCAACAGCTCAGTGTAGGGGCAGATTCAAATCGAGTTCTCCAGTGAAACTCCCATAAGGATATGTTTTGGTCTGAAATTTGTTGGCCCCACACAACAGCCTTTCTCCTAAAAGTCAAGGATTATGAAGTAGGCCAAAGTATGCTGGAGTTATGCAAATGTCAGTATTCCTGTTTGGGTTTGGATATGAGATGTCGCCTGAAAAGCGCCATGTTCAGCAATGCAGGAACATTCAAGAGGTGAAATGATTATATTATGTGAATAGTAACCTCACCAGTGGATTAATCTATTTGATGGATTAATAATTTGAATGGATTACTTACGGTAACTTCAGGAAGGTTAGATTAAGTAGAATGCTGTGGGTATACATTTGAGGATTATATTTTGCCCCCGACTCCTATCTCTCTTTCTTTCTATTTACTGGTTTCCATAAGCTGAGCAGCTTTCCTCTACCATGTCCTTTCACCGTGATGTTCTGCCTTATCTCAGGCTCTAAGCAATGATATAAGCTGACCATGAACTTAACCTCTAAAATCACGAGCCTAAATAAACTTTTCCTTTTATAAGTTGTTCTTGTCAGATATTTTGGTCATAGTGACAAAAAGCTGACTAACCCAACTCCCCAGTAGACTTTCCTCTCCACTTGACCCCATTGCACAGTTCAGGCTATTGTTTTCACCTTGATCTAGTTTCTCTATTCTCAATCAGCCATCTCTATCACTGGAGTGTTCTTTATAAAACACAAAGTTGGTTAAATTATTTAAGATCTCCCTAAGTCTGCAGGAGCAAGTCCAGACTCCTCTGCAGGACCTACAACAGATCTGTGATTTGCCTCCTGCCTACTTTCCATCCCTGTCTTTCATGTTCTTCTTTTAGTCACCATGCTTTAGCCGCACCAAACTGCTCAGCCCTCTGAATATGGCTGCCTGATGTCTCCTGACTTCATAAATGTTATTGCTTTTTTATTGATTATGAGCCTTTTTTCTTTCCCCACCTTTTTTTAATCCACCTTATAAACTGTTCTTAATTTTTTAACTTTAAGAACCAGCTTGGGTGCCTTTTCAAATATAGTTGAGCATTCTTTTCTCATTCTTCTCTATACATCTTGTACCTGTATTCATTCCAGTGCCCACCATGAGGCAATCTTTATTTACTTATTTATATTCCCTATCAGACTGTGAGATTCTTAAGAAAAGGGAGCATTTCATATTTATCTTGGAGTTCTCAGAACTGAGCCTAGTAAATGTTTGTTGACTGAAAACTAAATAAAGAGTTATAAGTAATAATTAATCAAAACTAAGGTAAGCAGAAGTATTAGCTTTTATAAGCATGGTAGGAGACTATTAGCAATCTAATGAAGGCAGAAGATCCCAGCAGTACTGCACTTTCTGATGGTTATCACAGGGGCTAATGATTGGCTGTGGTGAGAGTAAGAGGGAGGGAGGGGCGCTGTGATGGAGGGATGTCTTTTTAACAGAGAATGTCACTAAGACAGTAAATTATCACGTTTTCAACGAGTAGTTTTCAGTACTGAAAGGTATTGTCCTGAGAATATATTTGAGTTCGATTGTAAAGAGGCCTAACTTACAAGAACTGGATCTCCCAAATAGGACAAGTGTGTGCCACCTGCTTCAAGGCACCATGGCTGGTTATGGAAGGATCCTTTTTGTTTCTACTAAAGAGTAATGGAACGGAAAACTCTTGGGGGAAAGTCTGGAAGCTATTCAATTCCTATTGAAATCTGGGTCAAATCCAGATTGGGGCACTGGATTAAACACAGTGCAAAGAGAGAAGGTCAAATAGGCTGGATTCTGCACCTGTCCAGAGGAGGCCATTGAAAAGGCACTTGAAGCTAGATGGAGTGAGGAGATAATGTTCTGATCTGTTCCCAAGGAACTTTTCCTTTCCTTTTGACAGGCCTCTGAGGCACCATTCTTAGGGACATCAGCTGTGTCTGTGGGGTACTTGAGGACAGCAGAACTGTCATAGGGCCTGTCACCCTGCTGATACAAAGGCAGCCTCAGGATTTGGAACAAGCCTAAACAAGCAGAAAACCTGGCTTAGGGGTGGGACAAGGTCATGGGCACATGAGTGGACTATTAGCTCACTATGAGTCTTTTCCCTCACCTTATCTTTGGTTAAAAAATAGGATCTCTTTAGAAGCTGCTTGATTGATGGTTGATGTAGCATAGAGTCAGTTTCATATTTTCCTATGAGCCAGAGACAGCCTTTCAATTACGTTTTTATCTCAAAGGTCTCCCCTTTGATTTCTAATAGGTGACACAGGTTTCCTATACTGCTTATGTCTGAGCATTCCCCTCAAGCACTGACGTCATAATAGCTGAGCCGTGCAGGCAGGAGTGCATGGTGCTGACTCATCCTGGTGATGTGGGATTAATGCCTTGTCTAACACAGAGCTATTATGTGAACTGTTTTTACACAAAAGAACTGTAACAAAAATGGTTTGCCAGTCAGAAGACTAGAAATATGCAGTGCTAGGTAACTGAGGGGAAGGATGTGAAGACATAAAGTGGTAACCATGAACAGGCACATCGACATCCTCCAAAGCATCAACAGACATACACTATCAATACTGAGAACAGGGAATAACCAGACTTGTCAGGGGCAGAAAGGACCCACCCCTGTTGTATAAATGCATTACACATAGCACCAGTCTTTGCAGAGTTTAATCAATCTCCTTTCTCTGTCAAATAAATGTCACATTTGACTTTAGCCTTAGCCTTCTTGGAAGGATTTTGTCCCCCTATATATATTTGCCACTAGCTTCTAGGAATGTTAGTGAAAGGCACACACAAGCAAAAGAGCCCTGGAAACCGCCTTTCTGTGCAGATGATTACAACACAATAAATAACTTAGGTCAGCGAAGTAAGATATAATGTTATAAATAAGGGACATTGTGCACCAGAGAGTGAGAAGCAGTCAGAAGGATCATGATTATTTATCACAATAGGTGACTGTCACTCCCTGCCAGATTTCTTGGGTGGTGTCTCTTGTAGTGACTTGATTATTTGGTTTCACTGCCCCCAAATCTCTTTCAAGCAGCTCAAAGTAATATTTATCTAAATCCACTCAGTGCAGCCTGGTTTGGTCTTTAATAAATGTTCTCTTTTTTCATTTGAAATCAAGCTCCCTCTTCCCCACCAACTTCCCATCTTTTCTAAAAAAGAATGCCACCTTCTATAAATCTCATGGAATGTGTGAATCCTTGATTTCTTCCCCCGCCCCAGACTTACATTTTGCAAAAAAAAAAAAAAAAAAAAAAAAATTAGCCTATTTACTTGTCAGTCTTGTATTTCTTAGTGAAAGGATATTATAAATTTAGTCAATAAATGAAAGCTGTGATCTAGAAGTTAAAATTAAAAACTGTTGGATCTACGGAAGGGTGAATAACTAAAGAATAAACAATTGCCATTGATTGACAGCAGAGCAAAAACCCAACTGTTGCTGAAGGCTGGTTGAAGAACATAAGCTATAGTTTAGAAGAGCAGAGAGTTTTGCAAATAGCAGCTGTGGTCAAGTAAAGGGCAGTCTTTACATAAGTATGGTGGCTGGGGCTATGATCTTTTCAACTTTCTCATGAATGGCCACTTACCACTACGGCCAACAGCATCACCTCCAAACAGGAAAGAAGCTAATGCCTACTAAAGAAGCACTAGAAACCATAACAAAGACATCTAGAAAATATGCCAACAAAGTCCAAAATATTCCAAACTTGACGCTTTTTTTTTTTAAGGTAAAAAAAACACTTTTACTTACCTAAGGAGAAGGGGCAGGCAACAGACTGATGGTCAAGGAACTGAAAATTAAAGAAAAAACATGGAATTAAATGCAAATTCAATGACATAAAGAAATCTAAGACGGAATTGTTTTGTCCCAAAGAAAGCCATTTTGTCCCCTATATCCTCAAATGAAGGAGACCCAGCCTCACAGAAATTTTCCAACGGCATGACTACTTTCTATGATGACCAACACAGTACTTCTCAGCACAAGGGATGGCAAGATCTTTCTTTGTCAATTTCATCTTGATCTGTATCATATAGAATTTTCTGGAGCTGTACTATTTTTCAATACAATAGCCATAGCCTTGTCTATTTTGATATAAATTATTTAAAATTTAACAAAAATTTAAACTTTTGGTTATTCAGTTTTACTAGCCACATTCCAAGTACTTAATAGCAACATGGTGGTGAGTGTCTTCCTTACTGAATTGCACAGGCATAGAACATGCCATCATTATAGAATATTCTGTTGGGCAGCACTGATAAGAACAATTTTATTACACAGTGTGTCACAAATTTTAGCTAATTCTGGCAAAGATAAGTTAAATCTGAGGACTTTTGGCTCTTGAAGTATAAATTTAATGTGTTTACTGCCTGAATTACCCTTTAGACAAATTTCATATTTCTATGCATTGTTGAACTTCAGTAACACGGAGAAGCCAACCAAATCAGGCTCAATGCCTCGACTTCCCTTTCTAATACTGTCTCCTCTACTCTGCTGCACCAGTTTAAGAATGTCTCTTTAAAGCATCTCCTCCCACCCCCAACATATCTCTAATGATGAAAAAGTTAAGTTTGGGGGAGAGTTGATCTCAATAGTTCCATATTCTGTGTTTGCAATGTAATGATTCTCCTTTACAATTTTTCAAGCACATGCCAAATAAACTATTAGAGGACTGGTTTGTATTCCATTATTTTGATACCTGCTGTTAAAGAAGGATAAAGCTAAATTAAGAGAATATCCACAGAAATTAATAAACCAAACAAGGATGCTGAGAAAACAAAGGCAAACCTCCCTCACAGGCCCAACTAGAACATATCAAGGACTTAATATATGCTGAATAAATTCTTGTTTCTGACAGGACGATTTTAACCACTTCACAGAAGTCCTCCAGAAATATGCAAACAAACTTCACTAAAGGAGATCTAGTAGAAGGGCCTGATTGAATATCTTTATACTAGGACTAAAGGAGAACACCCACAATTATTCAGAACTCACATTCCAGACAGTTTTCTGGACAAATGCATAACTGCAGATATTTTCCCAAACAAATGGTTCCCAATATGTGGCAGATGGGAAACCTATCCATGTATATGTAGATGTAAAAGGTGGTGGTCCCCTCCTGGGACATGAAGAGTTAAGAAAATCTACAGCCTTGATTATAATGCATGCTAATGCAAGAGAGGTTGGGGGTCTCCCATGCTTTCAAATTGTTCCACAAAATTGATGAGTTTAATGAAAAATTTAAGCAAGATAATTAGATTATGTATGATTTATTGAAAGTATGTACAAATTTGAAATACAAAATAATAACTGACTAGTCTTCAAAGGTCTTAAAGTTCTAAGTTTTGCTACATTCTTTTCTTCCATACAGGCCAAATTCTAGACTATTGCCCTGGTGTATCTTTTTTACCTTTTCCTCTCCCTCCCTCTTTTTCTTCTTTCCTTTCTTTCTTTCTGCTGTGCCCTCCAATTCCCTCCACACACCAACACATACTCTTTGAGCTTTATTTCTTTCTCAACCTCTGGTGAAAATGGGAAAAAAATTAGTGATTTTCTATAAAATGTGTCCAATTACACTTTTCTATTGCATGTTATAACCCCAATTATTCCTCAATAGTACATAGTGCTCTTCTTACACTATACCTAGTGCTTCTGTTCTTATATCTATGGAGGTAACTTTCCTACTTAAATTTAAAGGAGCATTTATTCACAAAATTAGTCAAAACTAAATTTTTGATGTGACCAAAAGAGATCAATGGAAATTTTACCCAGATTGACTAATACATCCGTGGTCTGGAACAAAAAACTATCTTTCTTGATGTCAAATGACACATAGGCTGTCAAAGACAGGAATTGATGACAGAGAGAAAAATCACAGTGTATGTTACCATCTAAGATAAATTAAAGCCAAGTGAAATTGAAGATTTAACTGAATATAATTACTGTCCTTAGATATTAATGCTAAATAATAATACTGATCCTAAGTTTAATACTAAGGCTAAAAATTTAATCTTATAGTTCTTATATAATTCATAAATGCTTATAAATGTCAAAAGACCCTTGCATCTTGATTGAATTACAAACTGCTATGCAATTTTGAGAACATGTATTAATCTACATAGATTTATTTTTGTTCAATTCAAAATGCTATGTTATTGATACATGTCCCTTCTACCTCAGTGATATTCACCTTATATGTTTGTGCATCATTTTTGTCTAAAATGAAAAGAATTATCTATAATCATTTTGCATAAGAATTAAAGCATTTGCATTAAGCAAATTCCAGGTCCAATGTACAAATATGTAGCAAAGAACATAAAACTATAAAGCTCTCCAATTCAGGATACTGAAACAGTGAGTCGGGGTATGAATATAAAGAGGGGCAAGAGGGGTGACATGTACTGAAATCTATTCTTAGTTTCATGATTCCTTAGTGGAAATTATTACCAAGTGTCAATCTCCAAGGAATTAGAAGTGTTATCAATTGTAACTTTAAAGATCAGTCAGTTCTAATTTCAATTTACATAATGTTCAAGGGCAGTGGTTTCCAACATTTGGAGGCGACACAGATTCCTAGAAGAAACTCTCTCTCTAGAAAACTCCTCAAAAAATAGCAAGTTTCAAGGAGCTTTGGGACCCCATGAAGGCTAAGGAAGGATCTCAGGTTACTTATCAGTGGCCTTGGCAGAAAGGAGAGAAAACCCTCCTTAAATCCCACTACCTCTAGGAATTTTAACAACACACGAAAAGCTGAAGCTAGGAGCAAAGAAAACCTATAAAAAATGGATTTCTAAAGGGTGTTTGGCTAGAGATAAGTGGATTCTTTAAAATCTTCCAGACTTGCATCTTCCTAGTCCTTTATAATTTATTTTTAAAAATGTCCATAGAGCCTTACTCTCACTGGGGTAAAAGAATACAGAACAGAAAAATGATAATGCTAAGAAGAGTTACTATTTTGAGGGTATCTTTTATGGTTTGAAGCATCTTGGTGAGTAAAATCTCCATTTTGGATATGGGCATAACTGGGGTAGTGGAGAGCATAAAACAGTTTACACAAAGACACAAAATACTAAGACAGCTGTCTTCCTGGAGGGCTAGTTTTCCTTGTGGGTAACTAATTTAAATTTTATTTGTACATGCATTCATGTATCTACTAACTATTTCTTGGATGCTATAGAAGATATATAACAGAAGTTGTTCTTGTCCACATGGAACTTCCAATTTAGTGAGACAAATGAAAATATGCTAGAGATTGGAAAGCAAAATATGGATGTAGTTTTAGGGTGACACCTGAGATGCCACTGAAATGATTGTGGCAGAGAGTTTCCTGTAATGTCCCAGAAGGGACACCAAGTATTGTATCATTCTAGCTTGAGGATCACATAAGTAGGAGAGTTGGAGAAGCACTAGTAACAGTGCTCATTTCATCCTTACTATAAAAGAAAAAACACTATGACTTCCTATTTATATGAGAGAGAGAGAGAGAGAGAGAGAGAGAGAGAGAGAGATTTGAGAAATTAGGAAACTTATCCTTATCCCAAATCACACAGATTCTGGCGTCTGAGTAAGTGTGTACCATTCCAAAGTCTACATACTTTGACCATTAAAGTATACTACTTCTAGGTGTTTCCCACTTTATGTTTCCCCCTGAAATTTAGGCTCATTCAGGATTCTGCAGGCTGGTTTAAACTTCTCTTTGGAAGCAGACAGGTTTGGTTTGATTTGCATTCTTAATATTTTACAGTGGTAAGGGAAAGCTATTATTATACCCATTTTATGGTGAGGAAGCTGAGCCGCTTGCCAGCTGAGGTATTTGGCTGGGTTAAAAACAGAATTCAGATCCTTGGTCTCTCATTCCTCTTGACTAACCCCAAACCTAGGCAGTATGAGTGTCCAAGGGCTTTTCTGCACATGGAACTCACACTGGATGATAAAGAATGAGATGAACTTTGCCAAGAGAAAACAATAAGAGTGCAATAAAAAAGTAAGTAATCATAACCCATAAAATTGGTTACTTTAAGCATTGTGAATAGAAAAGGGAAAGCTTATTCATCAAATGAATCAGAAAATTAGGATGTGTCACAGCACTGATGACAGAGCTGAGGAATTTAGATGAACTGAAGTTCAACACTTCTACCTGAAGAGGTTAAAAGGTATGACAACAGGACAGAAATGACCCCTTAGACATGCCTTTAATCTTTTCAATTCTTTCTCTTTGACTACTTTCTCTAGAAGTTAGGTGGTTCTTATCTTTGTTTTTTTCTGAGTCAGGAGATAATATTTTAATATTCTAGAAGTATTGTATTAGTTAAATCTTAATGTAGAAGTCATTCTAAACAGTAGAATGAAGATTTTTACCTTACTGATTTTCTTAGTACCTTTCTCACTTCTAGTATTTTCAAAAGCTGAGGTGCTATTGGATTTTTGGATTCATATGTCTTTCAGAATACGTGTCAGCTTCATAGATTCCTGTCAACTGATATTCTGTCTTCACTCTGGATACATGATTTCCTTTATCTGACAGATTCAAGAAATTTTATGCTAGATTTAATGACACTTCATGCACCCTACATTTGGGAGGTTTTAATTCTCTATTTTCTATTCTGCAGAAGGTTTATAAGTTAAAGTCAGAATGAAAGGTTATTCATATGCGCATATAGAGCATTTGCAGTCTCTCACTAGGTCCTTTGGAATCTCCCATGGATCAATCTTTTGTAGTATTTTTATTTCTTTTGGTCAGTCACTGAAGATTATAAGTACTACCTGTAGTCATTCATATCTTGAGGTCTGCTT